ACCTCCACAGGCCCCTGCAGGCTTGTAACATGGGGTCATTGTACTTGATATTAATCACCAGTCAGCCTGTTCCCCCAGTAAAAATATGAAGGGGTGTGTGAGTGCTCCATCCTCCTTAGGCTTGCCAGGAAGATGGACTGAGCTCTGGTCAGTCTTTAGCACTCCATTCTTTCCAACTGTCTCCCTCCCTCAGCCGCACCCCAGATGGAGCTTGTAGTAAAGTCCTACCTGACCTATTCCCTATAAAACTGACAGTTCTACCATCCTTTCTGAGTTCTAGGCAAGGACTGTTGTGGTATAACATTCCTCCTATGTCTCACACCTTAATCTTTAGGAGCCAGGGTATAGTTAAGTTTCATCCTATATGAGAAAACTTCCAAATTTTAGAAACAGAAACCCACTGGCCCACTTGAGAGCAAGACTTCTCAGCTTCTTGGACAGAGCTGTTGTTTTTTTTTTTTAATACTGTTTGCAGAACTAACCCCAACCTGAAGGGTTAATCTGATTCCCCAAGTCAATATCCCCCAAACAACCAGCCAAGAGTGTGTGTTGGTTCATTTCTGTGAAATGTGTTTCCCCAGTCACCTGGACTGGCCTGGGCTGCATTGTATCGGCCAGCAGCTGCACTGCACTCAAACTGACAGCTACATTAAACCTTGGAATTCTAAGGCAATAAAAAGTAAATTAACTCTTATTTTTTTCCTTTCCTAGTGGAGTAAGTGAATGTATGTCTGTAAGTAAGTGAACCTTGGTTCTGAGTATGTACCTCTAACTAGCCACTGCTGGGGGCTGTCCCATGCTAGGATCTGCTTTCCCCAGCCAGGGGCCTGCTTTCCTGGTGTGTGGTGTGTTCTGTGGGGTTGGGCCAGTGGGTCACCCGCAACTGCTGATCCCTGCTCACTAATCACATTGCAGCTGCTGAGAGGTTCCCTTGCCACCATTCTGGGAGCCATAAACGAACTCATTGGACACAGTTTCATATTCTCTGGCTGCTTTGTGTGCTTGATGAAGAGTCACCTTAACTTTAGTGCGATTTTGTGTGCTCTGGAAGCTTCCCCAAAATATGAGTTGGGACCAGAACAAGCCAGAGGGACTTGTCAAAGGCCATAGTTACTCTAGAGCAGGATTGGAGAACGTCTGGCCCGCATACTGTACAAGGCCCGCAAAATGATTTGGTTTGGCCCTGTAAAGGCAACCACATTCCAGCCATCGTTAAATGTTGAACACTATATACAGCAGGCTAATTTAAGTTGGTAATTTGTATGGCCCGCAAGTGATGTTACAAATTTTGGCAGACAAAAAAGGTTCCCCATCCCTGCTGTAGAGCGTCCATTTGGTAGAGCCAGAGGTGGTTGAGTTGTCTGAAAACCTTTAGGGAGTGATTTCCCAAGCAGTTCCAGAAGATTGGGAGCTGTTTAAAGCTCCTCAAGGCCAGACCAACCTTGAGTCCTTAGCACTGCTGTGGGGTGAAGGTTGTAAGGTGCTCCTAGTTGGATAAGGAACTAAAGCAGGAAAAAGCTGAACTTTTTCCCTCAACTTAGACAGGAAATCCTGTGTTCGCCCAGAGAACTGACCTCCCAACCCAGGGACTTGATTGGGGTAAGCTGAGGTGGTGTTGCCCGGGTTCTAGAACTGACCTTACCTTCTTTAAAGATATCTTAACTTTTGAGTTCAGGCGTCTCACCTAGTTTTCCAAAGTACATCTTGCTGCTATTACTAGTTTCTTGAAACCTGCCCCCCAATTCCCAATCCACTATAGAGAGTCACTATTATGGCCATTAATTGCCTGTTTGGTTGTGTTTATATCTGGTGTTCAGTGAGATAGAAGATAACTGACGATGAAATATAAACTGAGTTTGGGCAATCCCACTCATATACCAGAAGAAAGCAGCTCCTCAGAATCAGAATTCAAATATAAGAACCTTGGGAATGTAACAGGGCAGAGATGACCTTTTCATTGACCATTTTATTAACCTGTCAGGGACCACCAAGTAGCCCTTGGACCACTTTGTATTTCCGATCTGGGAATCCAGGGTACTTCTTATGTCTGTTAGTACTTACTGCTGTCTTACAGACCAAAATTGGAGTAGGAAGTCCCATTCCTCTCAGTTTTATTGCAGTTGTTTTGGCATAAGGTGGGTGGTAATGGGTAAAAGGCAGATGTGGACAGAGGTCTCCTCTTGTGGCCAGCAGTCTCTATGAGGAATCACTTTTAGTTTATCAGAGCCTTAGGGGACAGAAGAGAATAGTAATGAGAACCACATGGTACCACATATTTCTTCATCTTGGATCCAAGATGGTAGAGGTGAGAGGATGAGAGAGGGATATGGGGCCTCCCACTGTGGCATTCGTGGGTAATTTTCTGCCTCCTCTCCTTGTTGGAAACACTCTGCCCACACCACCCCTCACTCCCCCTCCACACACTACCCCACCCCTCCACCCCATGTTCTTCAGCATCCTTGACGTGCGCAGCACCAACCAGGGTCCCCAAGCCAGGAATTCAGCTGGGAGACTTTTCACCTTCTTCTTTCTCACTGTTGTCTTTCCTGTTTATTTTCCAAATTGCTGCTCTGCAGCAGAGCAGTGCCTGTTGACCAGAGCTCACCAGTGCTATGGGATAAGACTCAGGCAGTGGGCTCAAGTGGCCAACAGGGCACTGGGAGAGGAAGCGGGAAGCTGGAGAACCTCCCTGTGCGTCTCCCATGGGCAGCGCTAACCTCGGAGGCGGCCCTGAGCAGCCCTATCACATCCGGTGCTTGTCTCTGCAGCCGGGACCGGAGGATAAACTATCAGAGCTGTGGGGCAGTGCATCATTCCTCTTATTATTTTCTTCTCTGCAGATGGGGTCGTGGAAAGTTCAGTTCCTTTTAACCCTCGAAGTTCTGTTTATTCTACAGCTGGTAGCCTGAATGCAGCGTTTCCCATTACATCACAAAGGAGCTCAGGCAAATCTCTGCACAAAAACGTGTTGCAACTGTTTATTTTTTTCCATATTTAAACATTTCTGACAGCCAAACACGGCTGAGCCAAAAGATGGAGCTTTGTGAATGAGACTGGTTGTTGGTGTCTATGTAGAGTGGCTTTAGAAAACTCTTGTCCCTCCGGTGTTTCTTCCCAAACATATTCTTTTTCCTGAGCAGAGCCTGTGAGGCCAGTGACTTCTGCAGTACACGTGTGTTGATTATGTGCCGTTGTGTGATTAATGAGGCTGTGTTCCGCCTGGTTCCCAGGACACTCTTGAAAACAAGATGTTTCATTTTATTGCCTTTTCCTAGAGCAGTGATTACAGTAAATAAACCAGTGCAGCCTCCTTCCACCTGGAGCCAGTCAGGGAGTTCCCATACCTCTACCCTACTGTCTTCCACAGCATCATGTTCAGTGGCATGTGTTTGAATGTCATCTTCATGGTACCCTTGTCTTTAGGAGAAATAAATTGGTTAGGTCTGAAGCCCCTCCTTTGCAGATAGCACTCATGCACAGTAACTCTCCTGGAGAGACCCAGGATGTGTCTCATTCTTACAGCAATTTTTGATGCTTGACATTCCACCTCCTGAACTTAATTGTGAAACTTTTATTTGTAATTATCCTATGCATCTGACTCCTTTTGGAGTAGAACTTAGTATTCATAGAGTACTGCCACCTGTTCCAGACTCCTTGATTAGGTGGTCCTCTGAAGAAAAAAACCTAAGACTTGTTAGGATGTGTATCTGACCGCAGTTTGATTATTTGAGCTATGCGATAGGCAGACAAAAAGAAAGCTATGTGGAGCTGTAACACTCACCAAAACTGAGATCTGAACCACAGCAGATTTTTGACACATGATAGTGACAGAAAAAAGTAAACTCACACTTTATAAGTCTACCATGGAGTCCTGGTGTGCCTCTGTGGGATAATCACTATACTGCTAACCACAGGGTCGGCGGCTTAAACCCACCAGCTCCTTCTCTGAAACCTTATACAGGGTTGCTATGAGTCAGAACCAACTCAACGGCACTAAATAGAATAACCATTGAGTTTGAGCTAAGGAGAGGCCACCTTTGTGTTTTCAAGATTTTTACTCTGGTACAAACAGTGCCTGGTGATTGATAAAAACATTCAGGTTGACCAATCATCCCAGTTTGCCCAAGAGGAGTCCCGATGTGGCACTGTGGGTTAATGCACTGGACTGCAAAGTTGGTTTGAATTGTAAGGTTGGCAGCTCAAGTTCACTAGTTGCTCCTAGGAAGCCCTATACAGTGTCGCTGTGGGTTGAAACTGACTCAAGGGCACTTACCATCAACAAAGCATTTTGTAGGGATGTGGGACTGTTGGTGTTAAAACTGGGACAGTCCCAGGCAAACCAGAACAGTTGGTCACCCTGTATTCTGACCATTCCACAATGAGGGAGAGGAGAGGAAATTGAATGGCCACAACATGATACTGGTTCATTTGCTGAAAGACAGGAAGGGCTTTACCTTTCTGGGGAGGATTTTGGTAGACCAGGATTGAGATTTGGGGGGTTGCGGGGGGAAGGCTGTTATTTTTCTTCTTGTATATAGGGAAGAGTTTCGGAATCATTGTTTGGGGAAAAACACATGACTCTGCAGTGTGATGGAATGCTCTGTCGCAGCTCTGGAGAGGAAGAGATTGGCAGATTTTTGATGTCTGTGTGGCATATACTTGGCTGCACAGGAGTGGGGGAATTCTGAGAGCTGCCTCAGGCACTGGGTGTCTAGAGCATTAGAGTAAGTGTCCTAGGCACACTGTCTGGAAAGGTGACAGGGCCTGCATTAGGCAACTGGTTCTCTAAATTATTTTTCCTTTCTGGCGAGGATTTTAAAATTTCCTCTTATTAATTTAAACTTTGTGTAGATGGACATAACAATATACCAGGTTGCTGCCATGGGCAAAATTTTAGATCTTAGCTTTTTTTGGTAATATTTCCTGGTGGATGCCAGCTCTAAACAACACTGAGTGCTCACTCTAGAGCTGCTTTTCTTTTCTTATCTCATTTCTCACAGGGTTGCTGTGGATGTGTGGTCGACACTGGCTGATTTCTGTAACATACTGACTGCTGTGAATCAGTCTGAGGTGCCACTGTACAAGGACCCGGATGATGACCTCACCCTTCTTACCCTGGAAGAAGATCGGCTTCTCTCGGGCTTTGTCCCCTTGCTGGCTGCCCCTCAGGACCCCTGCTACGTGGAGAAAACCTCGGATAAGGTCAGCCCCAGGCCAAACATCCCGCTCTGTTCACCCCTCCTCTTAATTCTCCAGACTTTTTTTATTCTTGGGAAGTTTTCTGTGCAAACGGAACATGATTAAGTCATTGAGAAGGGTGTTAAGGGAAAATATCGACCTTTTAGCCGCTGACATCCAGTTCTGTGTCCTGAAAAAAAAAAAAAGTCCTCTCGACTTCCTTTGGTGTGTGTGTGTGCTCGCTGGCATGTTGTATATACGATCATTTCCTCACTTGTTTAAATAGTGCAGCTTGTGTTGGCAGTGCTCTCACTCAGCTCCAAATGGTTTGCATCATGCTTAAAGCACCCTCCTTCCTCCCCCTATCCTCCTTCCCCCAGCCACAAAACTCTGCACTAGGAAAACAGCCAGGGCTTTTTCCCTTCTCTAAGGAGGAGAGTGATAAATAGGTGACTAGAGAGAAGCAGACACCATGTGTTAACTTACAAAAAAGCTTTTAGGAATATGAAGCATTCCCCGCTGCCTGCTTTCTATTTTCCTTTCTCAGGACTGTGTTTTAACCTGAATTTTTTTTGTCTGTCTATTTATAGAAAACAAAGTTCATACTCTGTTGCCCTGGTGGGGACTATGGAGCTCTTAGTTTCTGCTTAGCAGTTGGGTCTTAATCCAGGTGGGGAGTAGGACAGTCCGTTCTGCTTCACATTTCCCATCCTAACAGCATTTAGCAGACTGGGGAAATCATGGTTCCCACAGACCCCTAAGAGACAGTCCCTGTGCTGAGGGTGGAGTACCCTGTGGCTGACTTCTTTCTAGAATTGTTAGCATCACATACCCACAGGGAGAGAGGTCTGTGGGGAGAAGTCCCACAGATGGGTTCTCTGGAGGAAGTCTTTCGACTTAGATGAATTATACTAGGAACACAGGTAAATGTTTTTGCTTTTTGTTTAAAAATAAAAGTCAAGATAGTAAAAGCTAAATTCCAAACATGAACTGCAAATATGTCAGATTTTATATTGAATGTAAAATTATTAAAATTTGTTCTTAGTATAAAAGAGAATATGTTCATTGTAGAAAAATTTGCAAAATACAAAAAAAAAGAAAAATTTATTTATAATCTCACTACCCAGAGGTAGGAGTCCTGGTGTGGCGCTGTTGGTTAAGGCGCTGGAATACAAAGTCCACTTGAACTGGGAGGCCTATGGTTCAAGTTCACCAGCTGCTCCTTGGAAACCCTATACAGGGTTGCTATTGGTCAGAATCCAACTCGACGCCACTTAACAACAACACCCAGAGGTAACCTCACTTATTTTTCTAATCATATTTAGATTTTAGTATACATATATACGTTATTAATTTTTCTAACAAAAATGGAGGTCATGCTATACGTGCTGTTTATAATCTTGTGTTTTTCACTTATCATTTAAAAAATATTTTTATTGTGAATTGGGTGAGGATTTATGAAAACAGTTTTTCATTCAGTAATTTATGCACATTTGTTTCATGGCAATGATTTGCAACCCCCATGATGTAACATAATTCATGCTACTTCTATCCTGTGTTTCCGGTTTCCATTCTTTCTCCTTTCCTAATGCTTCTTGCCTTCTGAACTTTGTCCTTGGACAAAAGCTGCAATTTGATCGGTTGATTGTTTTAAAAGTGTATACCTCCTTGATGTTATTATTCACTTTATAGACCTGTGTATTGTTCAGCTGAAAATTGAGCCACAAGGGTGAGTTCAGATCCAGGCCTGAAGGGTGACTAAAGACCATAGTCTCCATGATTCTACCAGTCTCTCTATGACCAGCAAGCCTGGTCTATTTTTTTTTTTTTATGATTTTGGATTTCGTTGCACATATTTTTCCCACACTATCCAGAGCTCTCCACCTGAGCAGTTTGTAATAGTGATAGCCAGGCACCATCGAATTCTTCTGGTCTCTGGTCGTGTGGAGGCTGAGGTCTTTTAGTCCTTTGGATGAGTTGATTCCATATATCTTTGATTTCCTCACTTTTCTTTTCTCCAGACAAGGAGAGACCTCAAGGTATTTGGTTATGACTAAGAAGGTTTCATAACTTTATACCCTACTCCCTACCCCACGATATATTCATGGATTTATCCTTAGTATTTGTAAAAACATATGTAGAAATACTCAAACCTATGCAGAGAGCTTCAAAAAGTTTGTGGAAAAATTCCATTATTTTTTAATTCTATTTTTCCACAAATTCTTTGGAGCTCCTTTGTATATATTTATGTATACAATCCCATTCTCCTTCCCACACCTGTTCAGCTTACGTGTTTATCTATGTGTATACTCATAGAATATTGTTATTACTGTTATGAAGGGTTCTATATATTAACCTCTGTTGCCTTAAACTCTTGTACTTCTTCCAGTGTCTTCCTTTGCTTTGAACATGTTTTGCTGACCTTCCCCCTTATTGTATATTGCTTTCCTCTTCACCCAAGTTAATACATTATAAACCTCTAGTTAGTGATTTACCTACCATTCCTTCTTCTCCCTTCTGGTAGCCATCAAAAAATGTTTATTTTTGTGTGAAAACCGTTTCTTGACTTTTTTATAACAGTGATTTCACAGATAATTTGTCCTTTTGTGACTAATTTTACTCAGCATAATGCCCTCCAGTATCTTCCTGATAAGGGGGTTTTTCGTAGATTCATCGTTGTACTTTAACATTGTATAATATTCCGCTGTGTGTGTGTATCATTTGGTGATGGGCATTTAAGTTGTTTCCATCTTTTTGTTCGGGGATGGATAGATAGAGAGATAGAGAGATAGAGAGATAGAGAGATAGATAGATAGAGTGTCTTACTCTTTGCCATGGTGATTATACCATTTTACAATCCTACCAGCAATGTATGAGACTTCAGTTTCTCTACATCCTTGCCAGCATTTGCTGTTTTCTGGTGGGTTGTTTTTTTGTTTGTTTGTTTTTTAAACTTTTTTGTTAATGCTGGAGTGATACTATATCTCTTTGTTGCTTGATTTGCATCTTTCTAATGCATCTTTTCCAACAAAAACTTGAGTTTAGTCTTATTTCAGTCTTAGAAGGAGAAGATAGTAATTGTAGTATGCAAGGCTTATTAGATTTGTAGAAGATGTTGCATTAAAAGAGAAACTAGATGACATGGCTTGAGGCAAGGAATCCTAGTATTGTTTTTCTGTGATCTCAAGATGGCTTTACTCCTGAGGATTCTTTGGGAAGTTGGCTTCAGTTAGCTATCTTTTATTGCAGGACAGAGAAAAAGTCCTAACCAGCTTCTGACCTCCCTAACCCCATCTTCTCATCAGCTTCCCTATCTTTAGTGTCAGGTACTAAGTTTATGATCTGGCTGGAGAAGAACACAAAGCCAGCAGTCAATACTCTTGGTCCCCAATGATGGTTCACAGGCATTGAGACTAAGTAGGTTTCCATGCTTCAAGGGCTGAAAAATAACTGCCTCAAACATTGTTGTTTGTTGTTGTCATCGAGTCGATTCTGACTCATAGCGACCCTGTATAGGGTTTCTGAAGAGCTGCTGGTAAGCTTGAATTGCTGACCTTTGAACCTTATAGTTCAAACAGACTTTGAAGTCCAGTTCATTAACCCCCAGTGCCACACCAGGTCTCCATCTCAGATATAGTCCGTCTAAATAGAAAATTCTTGAATACCTCTCCTAACCCTGTTCTTCCTTTAGCCTTTTCCATTTCTGTAAATGGCAACTTTGACATTTGAGTTGCTCACATCAGAATTCTTGGGATTATCCTTCACTCCCTTTTTCTTATATTCCCATATTGAATCGATTAGTAATTCATGCCTTCTTTACCTTCAAACTATGTGCATGCATATATGGAGTCCTGGTGTGGCTCCGTAGGATAAGTGCAGGACCACAAGGTCAGCTAGAACCACAAGGTTAACAGTTCAAAATCGCCAGTTGCTTCTTGGAAGCCCTATGCTAGGTTGCTATGGGTCAGAACCAACTCAGTGGCACTTAACAACAATACATGCAAATATAACTACTTCTTACCACTGCCATTAAAATGTTATCTTCATTCCCTACCCTCCAGTCTGTTTTCAACATAGCAACTAACATGATCTTTTAAAACCAATAAGATACCAGGAGTCTTGGTGGTGCACTGGTTATGTACTTAGCTGCTAATCAAAAAGATTGGTAGTTCAAGCACACTCAGTAGCTCCATGGGAAAATAGATCTGACAGTGTACTTCTGTAAAGATTACAGCCTAGAAAACTCTATGGGACAGTTTTACTCTCTCACATGGGAACTCATTGGCACCCAACAAATATCTCCACAAGATCATGTCAGCTTTGTGTTCAAAATCTTCTGTTGACTGTTTATCTCACTCAGAATAAAAGCCAAAGTTTTTACAATAGCTTACAATACCCATCATGATCTACCCCACCTTTACCTCCCTAACTCTCTGACCTCAGCTCCTACTGCTTTCTTCCTACCTAGTATGCTCCAGTCACATTGGCTTCCTTATTATTCCTGAAGTAATTTAGCATTTACGCCTCTCTCTTGCCTTAAAATGTTCTGCCCCAGATTGCTGTGTGGCTTTCACCTTCCCTTCTAAATGTTACATATTAAGTGAGATCTTTCCTGACTACCCAATATAAAATATAACCTACCTTCCTTTTCCTTTTACTCCGCTTAACTATTCTCTGTAGTAGGAAAAATAACATCTTAAATATCTACCATATATCACTCTTTGACTAAGTATTTTCATAGTGTATTTCCTTAAGTCATCACAATAAGCCTTCCATGTAGATGATGTTGTTGTTAGGTGCCATCGAGTTGGTCTTGACTCATAGCGACCCTATGTATAACAGAAGAAAACACTGCCCAGTTCGGTACTATCCTTACAAGTATTGCTACATTTGAGCCTGTTATATACATACCCTGTGTCAGTTCACTTTGTTGAGGGTCTTCCTCTTTTACACTGAATCCTGTTTTCGGGGATTGGTCCTTCCAGATGACATGTCCAAAGTACATGTGTACCTTTATTTTATTT